CGCCGGGCAATCCCCTGCTCATGAGGCGCACTCGCTCTCCGCCGCCCTCCCTGGTCGGGCTGCTGCTGCTGCTCCTGCTGTCGGTGGCCCTGGCCGGCGTGGTGGCCGCCACGCCCGCCCGCCCCGGCCGCGATGCCGTCGCCATGGCGGCCACCTGCGAGCCCGGGTACTACCTCGGCGCGCAGGACACCTGCCTCCTGTGCGACCCCTCGTGCGCCACCTGCTCCGGGCCGGACGTCTGCGATACCTGCCGCACGGGCATGGTCTTCATGTCGATGGACGCCTCGGAGCCCAGCCGCTGCACGGTCCGGTGCCCCCCGGGACAGGTCGCCCTGCAGTCCGGCCGGTGTGGCCCCTGCAGCGCGTCCTGCTCCATGTGCGATGTCCTGCCGAGCCAGTGCACCGTCTGCGCGCCGGAGTACGGCTGGAGCAATGGCAATGCCCCGCCGGTCGGCTCGCAGAACTCCTGCATCCCCTGCCCGGCAAACTGCCTGACCTGCTCCGGCACGCACACGTCCAACCGGTGCTTCACCTGCAACCTCGGGTATGTCCTCTCGCCGCAGGGGACCTGCGTGGCCAGCTGCCCGGACGGCACCGGGCCGGATGCCGACCGGTTTTGCCGGCCCTGCCACGGGTCGTGCGCCACCTGCAAGGGCCCGGCCGCGAACCAGTGCACCTCCTGCCCCCAGGGCATGAGCCTGAGCCCGGGGGCCGATTCGACCGGCACCTGCACCTCCAGCTGTGCCCCCGGCACCTACTTCGATGTCGGGGCCTCGGCCTGTCAGCCCTGCCACGAGTCCTGCGGCTCCTGCTTCGGGCCCGACAGGACCCACTGCCTCGCCTGCCTGGACAAGCGCTTCCTCAAGCGGGGCCAGTGTGTGACTTCCTGCGGCTCCGGCCACTACCTTCGGGATCTCGCCTGCCACCCGTGCAATCCCTCCTGCAGGTCCTGCGCCGGGCCCCTCTTCACCGACTGCGTCGGCCTCTGTCCGGACTGGATGTTCTCCATGCCGGCGGTGGACTCCCCCAAGACCTGTGTTCCCGGCTGCGGCATCGACACCGGGCGCATCAATGGCTTCAACTGCACCCGGTGCGGTGTCATGTGCGCCGAATGCGCCGCCAGCGCCGACCCCATGGGCAACATCCAGACCCGGTGCACCCTCTGCGAGGAGGGCTTCAATGTCGACCCGACCGGCAGCTGTGTCACCACCTGCCCCGAGGGCAGCAGCCGCGTGGGCAACATGTGCCACCAGTGTGCCTCCGGCTGCGAGGTCTGCCTCGACAGCGGGTTCTCCGGCTGCCTGGCCTGCCGCCAGGACTTGCCGCTGACCTTCAACGGGGCATGCTATGCCACCTGCCCGGATGGCACCTTCCAGTCGGAGCAGACGTGCGTCCGGTGCGACTCCGCCTGCGCCAAGTGCACCGACGGCGCCGACTATTGCACCCAGTGCCCGGCCGGTCGCTTCCTCATGCCGGATGGCACGTGCGTGGGCGCCTGCCCGGCTGGCCACTTTGCCCGGAGCGCCGAGTCCGGCGGCCACATTTGCCAGCCCTGTGACAGCTCCTGCGTCGAGTGCGATGCCGCCGACTCCTGCACCGTCTGCCAGCCCGGGGACAAGCTCCACAAGGGCCGGTGCCTTGACGCCTGCCCGGCGGGGTCGCTTGCCTGCTCGCAGTCGCCCACGTGCATTTCCTGCCCGGCCGGCTGCCAGCAGTGCGAGCTGGCGGTCGACACGGCGTCCGCCTGCTCGGCCATCTGTGTCCAGTGCAGCGGCGACCTGTACCTGACCACCGGCAAGGAGGCCTGCGTGGAGCAGTGCCCCCACGGCTCGGTGGCCCTGGCCGGGTCGTTCTACTGCGATGCCTGTGACAGCCACTGCCAGACATGCCGCGACAGCACCAGCCAGTGCACCTCCTGCGCCGACCCGACGGCGTGGCTGCGCCAGGACACCGGCGCCTGCGTCGGCGCCTGCCCCTCCATCGGCATGGTCCCGGTGGAGTTCCCCGGCGCCGCGTTCCCGGACCCGGCCCGCGTGTGCCTCTCCTGCCCGGTGGATTGCGACGCGTGCGCTGCCCCGAAGGGTGCTCCGGAAAAGTGCGAGCTCCAGGACGACCGGACGCTGGACTGCCCGACGGTCTTTGCCTGCGAGCGGTGCACCGGGCCCCTGCTGCTGGTCTCCCCGCTCGAGTGCTCGGCCGACTGCCCGGATGGCACCTTCGCCGACCCGGATGCCGAGCATGGCCCGGTGCCCGCGTGCGTCTCCTGCCCCGAGGGCTGCCTCGAGTGCACCAGCCTCGACAACTGCACGGTCAAGTCCTCCAACAACCGCGCGCTCGGTACGTAGTGTTGTTTTCTTCTCTTCTTGTGACAGGCGGCGCGCCCGGCAGGCGGACGCTCCCACCAGGCTGCCTCCCCCCCTTCTGACACCCGCGTGGCAACTCGGCTCCTCGCTCAGCCATCGGTCTTGGCGTGGGCCTTTCGCTCTTGGTTCTTCTGATTGTCGCCGGTGTGGTGGCCATCGTCATGCTGCGCAAGCGCTCCTCCTCCGGCAGCAAGGGTACGTGCCGCTCGCCTGGCGGGCTTTCGCCCTGCCTCTCCGGGCCCCCGGCGCCCGACACACGCGCGCCCTGCTAACATGCCCTGCCTCTGTCCGGGGCTTGCCCCTCAGACGCCATGCCCATGAACTCCCTCCATGGTACGTGCTCGCGCGATGTGCCAGCGCCCCCCGCCATGCGCCCCCGGCCACATTCGCCCCCTCGGCCCTGCTCTCTGCTTTCCTTTGTTTGCCTCTCCTTTGCACATACCCCTGACACGCACGCATATGCACCTCCTCAACCTGCCCCCAACCAGGCTAAAGCCGCATGTCGGCCCCCACTCGCTCGCTGTATGCTTCTCTCTCGGCCCTCCTCCGCAACGCTGTGCGCCACTGTCCACCGACCTCCCTCGTGTAGAGGCGCCCCTGCGTGGCGGAAGAATACACACCGGGGCACCTTTCGCTTGTCCATGTGTGCTCCTGTGTATGCGCTTCTGTGTATATAGAAAGAGGGGGGGGGGGGGTGCGCACATACGCTGTCGACCAGGCTGGGCCCTCTTCGCACCGTCCTCGCTTGGGCAAGGGCGTGTGCGAGGCCGCGCCGGCCGCCTGCCGGGGCTGCTCCCCAACTGGTGGCCAAGTTGCCGGGCTGGCCCCTGCCCGCGAGAGGCATGAGCCCCGGCGAGCCCGTCTGCCAGGGGGGGAGTCGAATCGCACGGGGACTGTGGTCGCGGAGGCCGTAAAACCGGGGGAGGCCCTGACCCCTGGCCATGGTCCGCCAGACGGCCGGGGTCTCTTCCGTGCACGGGGTACACGCAAGGGGTCGGGAAGCGGACTGTCCTCCCCCCCCC